TAAATTACTAAGGGCACAGGTAAGTAGGTGGCAGAGCAGGGATTTGAACTCAGACCGGTTGGCTTCAGAATTCATGTACTTAATTGTTATAACAAACTGCTCCCTCTTAGATGTTACAGTACTTGTTTCTGCTACTATATATTTGCAGAATATAGTGGACCAGGCAGAATATGAAGTACAAAGACCTAGATTTCAATCCAAAATTTCCTCTGTAAACCTGGACAGTGCTTTAGACTATTCTGAGCCTCTGTTTTTTGGGGTTTTTTTTCCTTATGAGATGGAAAGAATAATATTTGTCTTGCCTACCTTATATGGTTGTTGAGTAGATGAAATAATGCATGTGAAAGTGCTTTGTAAAGTGTTCTGTAAAAAGTTATTGCTTAACGGTGGAATGGCTATGCCAGTGAGGGTATAGCTTTCAGTGGTGTGTGATGACAATGTTACATAAAGGAAATGAGGTCACAGCTAGATGGCGGAGCTATGACTTGAACTCTGGATTGTCAGTATATAAATCCCCTGTTTCCAATTACATTACTGCATTCTTTCCTCCAATATTTTCTCACTATAATACTTGATAGTACACAATTGTTTTCTTGTGTGGTTTTATTAAAAACAAGAATGTAAACATAAATTGTCCTTCAAGATTGTCCCACAAAATGTCTCTCTGGTAGACCTAAATCAGAAATTCCTACCTCCAACCTGCAAACTGAGTTGACAAAGAGCAACAGAGAAGGATTGGTCAGGTGACAAAAACTATAATGCTGGTCTCTAAGCAACTGGAAACGCTTGGCTGAGGAAGATTTCTTTTTGCCCTGGCAAGCTGGGGACATTCTAGCCAGGCGCCTTTGAGCCTCTGATGTGGAAAGCAGCTCAAATTCCCACACAGGAGGGGATGTTTATCTGTCTGGGAAGGTCCTGAAGGTACTCAAGTGGAAAAAACAAAACAAAACATTGCCCTCAAGTTGATTCCAACTCATGATGATCTCATGTGTTATGAAGTAGAAATGCTCCATAGGGTTTTCTCAGCTGTAATCTTTACCGAAGCAGATCTCCAAGCCTTTCTTATGCAGCACCTCTGGGTAGGTTTGAACTGTCAACCTTTTGCTTAGTAGCCGAGAGCAAACCACTTGCCCCACCCAGGAGCTCTGGTGGCACAGTTGATAAGAGCTATGGCTGCTAACCAAAAGGTCGGCAGTTCAAGTTCACCAGCCCCGCCTTGGAAACCCTATGGGGCAGTTCTACTCTGTCCTATATAGGGTAACTATAAGCCGGAATCAACTTGACAGTAACAGGTTTTTGTTTGTTTGTTTTGTGGGACCTATTACTTCAGGTGAAGAATATTGACTATATCGTGGACTGCCAAAAGAACGAACGAATCTGTCTTGGAAGAAATACAGCCAGAATGCTCCTTAGAAGCAAGGATGGCGAAACTACGTCTCACACACTTTGGACATGTTATCAGGAGGGATCAGTCCCTGGAGGAGGACATCATGCTTGGTAAGGTAGAGGGTCAGAGAATAAGAGGAAGATGTTCAATGAGATGGATTGACACAGTGGCTGCAACAAAAGGCTCAAACATAGCAACGATTGTGAGGATGGCGTAGGACTGGGCAGTGTTTCATTCTGTGGTACAGACGGTCACTATGAGTCGGAACCAGCTTGACAGCACCTAACAACAATAACAACAACAACATTACTTCAGGCAAAAAAGAAGGTTAAAAAAAATCAAACTAATATAAAAACCACACAAGTAATGGTATTGGGGCCCTGGTGACGTAGTGGTTAAGACCTCAGCTGCTAACCAAAAGGTTGGCAGTTCAAATCCACCAGCTGCTCCTTGGAAACCCTATGGGGCAGTTCTACTCTGTCCTATAGGGTCACTATGAGTCGAAATCGACTCCACAGCACCTAACAACAACAACAACAGTGATATTAGCATTCTCTTTCTTTTCCTTCTAGCAAATCCCTCACTGTTGTTGTCTGCCTTCAAGTCAATTCAGACTCATAGTGACCCAGTGTGACAAAGTAGACAGCCCCCTAGGGTTTCCTATGCTGCAATCTTTATAGAAGCCAATTGTCAGGTCTTTATCCTCAGGGCTGCTGGGTGGGTTCAAACCGACAACCTTTTTGGTTAGCAACCGAGCACTTAATGAACCATTGTGCCACCAGGACTACTTGAATGTATCCTAATACAGTGAAACCTGCGTGAGCCAGAACTTGAAGGGACTGCCTTATTTTTCTGGGTGTCGAAAGTTTTCCACCTTTGGCAGGGTGCAGTCTTACCTTTTCTATTGCTCTTTATTAGTGGAAAATATTTGAGTTTTCCTTCTCTGACAGGTTACACAGGTTCTGGCTTTTGCAGGTTTTACTGCACTATATATCTTAAATAAAATGTGCAAGTTACTAAACCAATGTTGAGTCAATTTCGATGCATGGCGACCCCATGTATGTCAGAGTAGAACTGTGCTCCATAGGGTTTTCAATGGCTAGTTTTTCAGAAGTAGATCACCGGGCCTTTCAGTTAGCTGCCAAGCTTGTTAACCATGCACCACCCAGGAACTCCAAGCCCAATACAGACCTTTATATGAAAAAGTCATAAACACTACATATCTTTCCCTGGATATGCTACACCTCTGCCATTTATTCGTTCCTTAACCAAATATTGTTGAATATGTGGGGATGGAGGCAGGCACTGTGGCAAGAGCTTGGGTGTAAGGATGAATAAACTGTGGTTCCTGCTGGCTGGGCTCAGTCTAACCACTCGACTAGTGGGAATAATTATAATGAAGAAGACTGTGAAAGAAATAACAAGAAATTACTATCTCAGCTGAAATATAGGAACTAGGCAGAGCTTAAGGAAGGGTCAGGTAAAGCAGTCCACCACTCTGTTTGGCAGTCTTTGCCCTGGTCCTACTTTTCTTGGGTTGGGGTATAGTGTTTCTTCTGTCATGCACTACTGTCTTCCGTTTCTCCCTCCTGCCACTCCTTTCACTATGTTTTTTTTTTTTTTTTCTCCTGCAGCAAAAGGAGAAAAAAGTCAAGGGAGCTAGCAGGTTGATTGTGGGGAGAAGAAACCGGCCAGGTACCTTGCTGTGTTTGGTCCACTTTTCTTGAGGCCTGGGGAAAGGGAAGGGCTGGATTCTGCTAAAGTGAGCCTTTAGTTGTAGACTTGTGCGTGCTGGAAGGAACCACAGAGGCCATTCTCTGTACTCTCCCTTTAATAGCTCGGGAAATTGAAATTTAACAACTTACCCCAGGCCACAAAGCCAATTAGTTACATGGTGTGTCTATAACTCAGGCTTCTTGACTTCCAGGAGGGTTAGAATGGACCAGTGAAGCACTACAAATGCCCCTTTGTGCTGGGGGGTGGTGGTGATGGTGGTGGTGGTGGTGAGGAACCCAGAGATGGAAACCCCGCTACTGCCTTCAGTAGCCTCTCAGCCTTATCTTCTTGACAATCAAACAGTCCTTCGTTTCTGACTCTCCAAAGGAATGGAGAAAAATTGAGTAATGTAGTCACCCCATAGTCTTTTGTTCTTTAGGAAAACCACACCAAGTCCACCACTCAAAAGTCTTATTTCATGCCTTTTGTTATTTTTGTTATTCTCCCCATAAGGCTAACCAATTTCTGTATATCCTTTAGAAAATATGGTGACCAGATCTGAACCTAGAACTTTAAAGAGGACCTGTTTGGTGATGTAAATGATGTCCTAATGCTATCTCTTCAATGCATCCAACTTCCAATTTTGTTTTTGCTTGTTTGTCTTAAAATCTTCAGAACACGTTACTAATTTTCATGATGTCAGTAATGACCTTGAGAAATTTGTATTGCTGATTTGCTTATATAAGGGTTCCTTCCCGAATATTGTCCTGTTTGTGTAAAGGCGTGCCTATTTATTTTTCCCATTCGTCGGCTTGTCAGTAATGGCCAGGTGGCAGATACATGTCAAGAAAACTAATCACCCTCTAACAGGATTTGGAATGGAATTAATGCGGAATGTGTGTCCTTCCTGTTACAGCTTTAACAGCCCAAGGTCCATGCCTGCTTAGAGACCAGCTGGTTAGCAATCGTAGTCCAGGGCATTGCAGGCTGTCTTCCGAGGCTAGACAGTGAGTTGTGTGAGATTCAGCACTCGGGCTTCTCAGAGACAGCACTTCAGTTCGTGATTCCAACTGTGGCCAACCCATGCCGGGACGCCCAGGGAGGCAAACGCATTTTCTATTCTTAAGGTGATGACACAGGGCTGGAATGCGCAGAGCCAACAAGCCCGTCCTGCCAGACAAGTTTCTGCTTCTGGACGCCTCTGAACCTCCGACACGCCTCAGTGTGTCAAGCTGATGCAGCCGTGGAGTCATTTGTAAGGCTAGCCCTGAATGCTGTCAGTAGTGCCCAGGCGACTGGAGTAGTTTTTCCAGCCCTCATAGCTGCTCTGTGATGAGCCTTCAAGCTCTCGCTCCTCGCTTCAATGCAACGGGCACGTGCCTCTTCCACCTCCCTGCTCCTCCCCGCTGTCTTCCAGCCTGCGCCCCTCCCACAATGCCTCCTAGCCCCAACCTGTCTGCGCGCAGAGAAGGGGGCGGAGTCGTGGGGCCGGGCCTCATGACGTCACCCTCCCGGAGGGGGGCGGGGCTGTGGGAACCGCAGTGCAGCGCAGAGGGGCGGGGCGGGGTGGGGCCTCGGACGCGTGACTTCGCTGCTGGAGGCGAGAACTGGGAGAAAGGTGTAGGAGGCCCGGGTTTACAGATTCCGGAGTCCGGCTCTGGGAGGCGGGGCGGGGAGTGGCACGGCTGCGGCTGCCGATGCCCTGCGAATTGCTAAGGCGGGTCACGCTTCCTCCATCGCTCTCCGCCCCTTCTTCTCCTCCCACCTGGGCCTCTGCGTGGAGACGCGCACCTGGCAACCGGCTGCCGCGCTCCGCCGCGTCCCCGCCTTCTTCGCTCGGGCCGGGCGCCCCGAGCTGCCCCGCACCCCGAGGCGGCCCCCGGCGCCGGTTCCTCGCCCTCTGCCGGCGCCGCGCTCGCTGTAGGCGGCCACGAGCGCTCGCACGTTGATGCCGTTTTGGGGGTGAACCCGCGCGGCGGCGGCGGCGGCTCCCGCTCCATGGTAGGGGGTTGCTAGTGGCCGCGGCTGTGCCGGACCTCGTGTGCGCGGCTGCAGGGTGGCAAGGCGGCCGGCCAGCGGACCCCGCTCGCAGCTTGGGTTTCGGGGCGCTGGAGGAGGCCGTCACGGCCACGCGGGAGCGAGAGATGTTGGAGCTGAGGCACCGGGGAGGCTGTCCCGGCCCCGGGGGGGCGGTGGCGCCGCCGCCCCGCGAGGGAGAGGCGGCTGGCGGCGACCACGAAACCGAGAGCACCAGCGACAAAGTAAGTAGAGCCGCGAGAGGCGCACACCTGCGTCTGGCTGGGTCCTAGTTTGGGCAGGGACACCTGAGAGCAAGAATTGGGCCCACGGAAAGTCAGGTGAAGGTGTGGGCTGCCCGCTGCCTCTTCCTCCCTCCTGGCCTGGCTTCATTTGCTGCTTTCCCCAAGTAGGGTCAAGAACCCGGCCCCCGGTGATGGTGCGCTTCCCAGGATGACGATGACAACTACCCGAGATAGCTGGATGATTCACCTTGGCTACAATTTAGCGTCTTTCCAGTCCAGACCCCCTCCCCGGGGTCTGGGGCGGACACTAGAACCAGGATGGAACCTGCCACCTTAGAAGCTGCAGTTTTCTAGTAGCTACCACCTCACACCTCTTCTGAGTAGAGGGAACAAGTTAGTGAGGACTTATACCTTCGGTTCCAACATGTCATTGGATCCTGACGCTGGAGGCTTGGCTTCTTGTGCTACCCCATCAGCACTTTGGTTTCGTCCGTCGTTTTTCAGTATAATAGGTTTTGGAGGTTTGAGAGTTTCATACACGTGACAGAATTGTAATCTTCCAGCTTCTTTTAATTCCGCGAAAAGACAGTGCAGTTCTTCTGTCTACCAGTAGATTTTATTTAACCAGGCACGTTGATTCATGAGGATTTTTCACTTTTTTTAAAGAGATTACTCTTGTTTCACATTTAAGAAAAAGTAGACGTAATATCACTATTCCATTTAAAGCTAGAAAAGAATCGAATTTAGGGCTTTTTAGATAATTAAGTGGTGTAAGTAGCAAGTTTTGAAAAACGTAGTTTTATGACCTTATGAACTTGTCAGTTTAGCAAATTGGGCAAGAGAATAGATTGTCTTATAAAAATTTGTTTATAAAATTCCTTTTATTCAGGAAGCTCAAAGCATTTAACTATTCCTAGAAACATTCTTTTTTTTGCATTAGGTATTGCAGTATGAACTGCAGAAGTGAAGTGGCTTGCCCAAGGTCAAGGCATTGTCGTTTTGAAACTAGAACTTAAACTTCCTGATTGCTTTTCCAGTTTGTACCTTTGCTGAGACTCATTGGTGGTTCTGACTAGGGAAGGTTCCACCTGGAACTTGATGTGGATTAACTTGATGTAACCCATGTTCTGGGGTGGATTAACCAGTAAGCAAGGTACACACAGGCTTAATTGTGTTTATATACTAATCTGTAGTTCACAATTTCACATAGGTTTCAACTTATCTTTGATGGGGTGAAAAAGAGGTGAAATTGTGCACCACAAATTAGTAAGCACAAGTAAGCCCATGTGTACCTTGCTTATTGGGTAATCCATCCTTGCCGTGTTACAAAGCCCTAAATATGCATGAAATAAAGGGCTTAACGGTAATTTTAGGACTGAAACTTTAGAATTAGTGGAATGAGAGACCCTTTTTTCCTGTCCTGGATAGTGGTGGAATAAAATGGGAGTCTGTGATAGAACATATGTGTCAAGGAATTATCCAAAATATAATAACAGTTTCCAGATACTGAAGGTTGAAGTTACAGAGCTGGAAACAGTGGGCTGAAAATAGTCTTTGTGAAAATCGCCTTGGAAACTAGACCAGAAATAGAATTAATTAGGTTAGTTTTGTTTTGTTCTAGAACTGGTATAGTTTAGAATCAAGGAAATACCCACTTCCCCATGTTGACTTCCTTGACTAGAAGCTAACAAGCTTTCATAAGATAAAACATGTTCAGGAAGCCATGCATAACATACCTTTTGAATTTTTTTTTTTTTTAACCTGCTAATGTATTTAAAATGGAAACTATGTGGTTTGATTTGACTCAGGGTGTCCTCTCTAGATACCGGTGACTGGGTTACCTCACTGCATATTTATTTATTAATTTATAAACACTGTACTGTTGTTTTTCATTAATAAATCCAGCTGGATTTTGTTTTCTGAGAGTAGGCTTCACCATATTTAGACTGTTTTGTTAAGATTTCTTAAATAATGACGAGCATATTCAAACTGTCTAAAATATTGCTGTACTTTTAGAGTTTATCACAGGGAACTCCTGACTTGGCAAGCTTCAAGACATTGAACTCTGTCCTTCTGTCTGTCCTTTCCTATCAGGGTGTGTATTTGAACACACCTGTATCTCCAGGTCAAGGGCTATTTTAAAATCAGTTTGCACAATAGAGGCTGGTTAATATTTGGTGCATTTAAATGTTTTAAGTACCTTCTCTGTTTAAGCTGCAGTAAAGGCAAAACTCTTGAAGGATGTGGAGGAGGCGTATTATATCCTGCTATTATAGTACACTCCCATGCGTTGCTATTTTGTGGTCTTTTAATAATGATATTATTAACTTGACATTGCCATTGTACAGGAGCTGGAGACTTCTGCTGAGAAAAGGTTTCCTCTCCAGAGAATTAGCAAGTGAAAAAAGTGTTTCTTACCTGCAGGGCAGTGTTCCAGTTTGTCAAATGCTAGAGTGGTACTTGAAAGATGACAAAGAACCCCCCACCCCCACCCCCGGAACCCTACTGCCTAGAAGATTTATTAGAAGTCTGTACAAGGCTCATTTTTAGCACAGATGGCATGGTTGGACTTTATATGGATGCAACAGAAAAAGCTTTAAAAAGGAGGGTCAAGTGAGGGTTGAGTTTGGGATGAAAAGATGCAGGGAGACTCATTAGGTAGTCAAGTGTTGGAGAAAGTCATTCTGGGCAGAGGGCTAGGCTTAGGGAATTGAAATTAGTTTGGTATTACTAGAACATAAACTATGTGTATTTGGAAGGTGGGGTAGTGTCTTAGTCATTTAGTGCTGCTATAACACAAATACCATAAGTGGATGACTTTAACAAAGAGAAATTTATTTCCTCACAGTAAAGTAGGCTAGAAGTCCAGATTCAGGGCGTCAGCTCCAGGGGAAGGCTTTCTCTCTTTGTTGGCTCTGGAGGAAGGTCCTTGTCAGCAGTCTTCCCCTGGACTGGGAGCTTCTACACGCAGGAACCCCGGGTCCAAAGAATACACTCTGCTCATGGCACTGCTTTCTTGGGGATATGAGGTCCCCAACTCTCTGCTTGCTTCCCTTTTCTTTTATGTCTTGTATGATAAAAGGTGGTGCAGGCCACACTCAGGGAAACTCCCTTTACATTGTATCAGGGATGTGGCCTTAGTAAGGGTGTTACAATCCCACCCTAATCCTGTTTAATATAAAATTACAATCACAAAATGGAGGACAACAACAAAATACTGGGAATCGTGGCCTAACCAAGTTGACACATATTTTGGGGGGACACAATTCAATCCATGACAGGTAGGAAGCTTGAGAGTCTTGTGAAGGAGGTTATGCTTTATTCCATGGACTCTGGAAGTTTTTGCAGAGGCATTAACCTATCATTCTGGCAGTGGTATGGCGATAGTATTGAAAGGGAAGAGATCTGCCACAAAGAAGATAGGAGGGTATTACAGATAGTATAGATAGGAAATGATGAGGGTTTGTAGAGTGCCAAGTCTGAAGGGTGGGGCGTGGGGGTTGAAAGAGAGGTTATGTATTTTAGATGATGACTGATGGTGGGGCATACACTAGGTGGTCAGAGTAAGATTAATAAAAGAAGGGACTGCTGGTATTCGTATTTTGTTTGCTGACTTAAAAGACTTTTAGGAAAGAAGTAAAGATGATTGGGTAGTTTTCCAGGTTAGGAGTGAGCTGGGTAGTTTGGTTTGGGCAGGTTATATCAGGGAGGTTGAGAAAGGGAGCCTATGTGAGAGGTAGCTCAAGGTGGTGATGGCAGCCAAAGTGAACGGTCAGGGCTGGAGATGTCAAATATTGGTTAGGGTAGAGACACTGAAGACAGAGCCTTGTTTAGAGAAGGGTTGGAGATGCAGGGACGGAACCCAGATACGAGGGACCTGGGAGCTAAAGAAGGTGGGATTGCTTAGAGTGTATCATCAATGAAACTTAGAAATGAGGGCTGAGACATAGAACGTTGAATTTAGCAAAAGATCTCAGTAGAAGCCGAGTTTTAGGTTGAGGGGAATGAAAAGTGAAATATTGGTAGTTATAGTCAAGAAGTGGCAGTGAGAGGGAATACAGGATAGCCGCTAGTGAGGGCAGGAGGGTCAAGTGAAGATTTCCTTTTTCAAGGGTGAGGGGAGATAGGTATTTGCTTGAAAGAAGTTGGAGAGAGTGAGAGTAAAGATACTGATGAGGATGAGCAGGACCTAGAAAAAGGAAAGCAGACATGGGTTGGAGAATACAGATGATTGAGGTAGCTAAGCAAAGAAAGAGGGATGAAATGGAGGGTGGATACAGACACATTTTGAAATACAAAGGAGGAAAGATAAAAGTGTTTGATGCCTTCAGTTTTCTCAGTAAAGTAGGGAATCATAGACTCATAGAGCTTCAAGGGATCTTAGAAACAATTAGTTAAACCCAATCATTATATATATATATATATTTAAAATACTAATAAATTTGCTCTAGAGTATGATTGTTATTGCCCAAAATGATCTAGAGCAAGTGGCAGAGCTTATCTCTGAACTCTAGTCACATTCTAGGACTAGTGTGACTGGAACACAATTTAGAGTGCCAATCTTAGGGAGTGTCTTAGTTTCCTATGCTGCTGTAACAGAAATACCACAAGTGGGTGGCTTTAATGAGCAGAAATTTGTTTTCTCGTAGTTCAGGAGGCTAGACATCTGAATTCCGGACACCAGCCTTAGAGGAAGGCTCTCTCTGCGTCAGTTCTGGGGGAAGATCCTTGTCTCTTTCAGCTTCTGTAGCCCCGGCTTCCTAGGTTCCTTCATGAGGCATCTATCTCATCCTCCCCCCACCCCCAATTTGTGCTTCCTTGTCTCTGTGTCAATGCAGCTCTTTATAAATCAGAGTGATTAGGTTTAGAACACACTTTACACTGACATGGCTTCATTAACATAACAAAGGAAACCCTATTCCCAAATGGGATTACATGCATGGGTATAGGGTTAGGATTGCAATGCAGCATATTTTGGGGTTACACAGTTCAGTCCATAA